TCGGTTTTTTTAAATTTTTAATTTCTAATACTTGTTTTTATTTACAGATGGAACGTAAAAAGATTTTAAATTACCCTGAAGCAAATATATAGAAGATGTGAATGGAGGGACGTCATACAATGCTACAGCAAAAAAAACGGGGTTCCAAGAATAACGCTAATGAGCAAGCATAAAGGGCAAGTACCATTTTTTTAAAAAATGGGACCATCAATCAAATTTTGTTCTGAACATGAATTGATTCTTGTTAATTGGGTTAAATCTCTAGCTCTTGCAGGTTTCCCTTTGACAAAGGAAACCTTAATGGAAAGTGTTTCTAAACTAGCTATAGAATTAAGGATCACCTTTAATTTGAATACCAAGCTCGGAAAAAAATGGTTAAGCCTTTTTTTAAAACGCCACCAAGATTACATTTCGAACTGGTCAAAATTTAACTTCTCAAAGAAGAGCTGTTACACAAGAGAATATCAATCAATGTCATAAAAAATCCAAATTGTGTGTTTAACTGCGATGAAACAGCATTCTTTTTAAATCCAAAACCGGGCAAAGTTATGGCTCCCAAAGGATGTAAAACTGCTTATAATGCTGCTGGCAATGATGAAAAATTCAATACAAGAACTTTAATTACAGTCAATGCAAATGGAAATCTTGCATCTCCACTAGTAGTCTACAGGTACACCAGGATACCACAAGGTATAGCTGAAAACTTTCCTTCTGACTGGGCAATAGGAAAATCTAAAAAAGGGTGGATGAAGGTATTCCCAGACCAGTTGTGATGTTCTTAGATGGACATGTTTCCCACCTATCCTTACAACTTAGTCAATTTTGTATTAACAAAAATATTGAATTAATAGCATTATATCCAAATGCTACACACATTATGCAGCCTATGGATGTATCTATATTTCATGTCTTAAAAACCATTTGGAGACAGAAAGTTGCAGATTGGAAAATTCAACATAATGGAGAGCTTCCTAATAAGTACAATTCTGCAACGGTATTAAAATAGGTTCTTCCTCATATTAAAGATTTAACAATAAATGACGGATTTAAAAAATGTGGCTTGGTTCCTTGGGATCCAAAGGCAGTTAAGGTTAATGGAGAGCCAAGTGCAGAAACTAAAAATATGAAAAAAACTGCAGAGTACAAACTATTTTTTACAATATTAGAACGTGAAATCGGCAAGGATAAAATAACATCTTTTATGGACAGTCAAAATGAATGGAAAGGGCCTTCTAAAGACACATCTTTATTTAATTTATGGAAATTGTGGCATGACCACCAACCTCAAAATACTGAAGAAAAGGTAACATTACTTTTATACATGGTGTTTCAAAAAGATTGGTCATAAATTATACCACGTATTCTTGGATCAAAAATAGGTCAATTAAACCGTACTTACTTATATACAAAAGTACACCCAAAAATAGTTACAGGGTGTATAAAATAAAAATTTAAATGAATTTTTCTAACGTTGCTTTAAACCGTTTGACATTTTTTCATCAAATTTTATATGACGTGTTGGAATACCATGACTAACAAAATCGAGGTAGAGGCAATATATTTTTTTTTATTTTTGTAGGATTTTGGAGGGTGTCACCGCCCCTTTCTCTACTCAACTTTTTTGTAATATAAAATTTTATTAAAAATCGAACGCTACTGAAATGCAGCATCTATTTGGAAACTGTTTTGTCTCCTAGTATTTGTTTCTAAAATGTTTGGTTTAGACGATACAGCCACATAAAATGAATAAAATAAAAATATTCAATGTAAATTATACCTATGCAAAAATATCAAAATTCGATTTTCATTGTTAAAACTATGTAGTAAATGTATACAGGAGGAGAATGTAATTTTAAACACCTGTTAAATTAATTTTTTTTTATTTTGATGACATTAGTTTGTAATTTAAAAATAAACTTGATTTTGATATTTTTCATATGTAGAATTTCCATTAAATATTTTTAAGTTGTCATTTCAAATGACTGTATCGTCTAAACTAAACTTTTTACAAACAAAAACTAAGAGACAAAAAAATTTCCAAATGTATGTTGCATTCCAGTGGCGTTTCATTTGTAATTAAATTTTATACTACAAAAAAGTTGAGTGGAGACAAGAGTGGTGACCCCCTCCAAAAACCTATATAAATCAAGAAAAAAATATTGCCTCTTCCTCGGTATTAGTAGTCATGGTATTCTAATGTCATATAAAATTTCATGAAAAAATGCCAAATGGTTTAAGAGCAACGTTAAAAAAATTCATTTAAATTTTTATCTTATACACCCTGTAACTATTTTTGGGTGCACTTTTGTATAGAGGTAAGTACGGTTTAATCGACTTATTTTTGACCCAAGAATATGTAGTATAATTTATGACCAATCTTTTTGAAACACCCTGTATACATATGAACTACTAGAACTAAATATAATTTTTTCAGCAATCTAATGAAGAACTGGCATCCATACAAGAACCGGAGTTCTTAGATGTAGTATCTCAAGACACAAACATTTCTCCTGCTGGACTAATAATTATAGAAGCATCAACTCCAGTCACTAGTAGCACCAGAGACTCCATTAAACAATGCACCTTCTTGTTCTACTAGCACTGAACTGCACCAACTCAAAACTTCCCCTTTAGTGAAGGGATTTACTGATCATAAAGAAAACATTTCTTCCCCATTTAAAAGAGTTTTGTTTTGGAAGGAAGACGGCCCAACTGAAGTTAAGAAAAAAGAAAAGAAAAATTACCAGACATTGCTACTTCTCCACAAATTTGATATAATTTAATAAAAAGTCGAATACCAAAAAGGATATGGAAAGACAAAAGGAAGAACGGAAATTAGCTAGAAAAGAGAAAAAAAAACGAATATGGAACAAAAAAAGGCAGAATCTAAGCAAAAGACCAAAAAGGCTACAACTAAAAAGAAAAGATGTCGCTCGTCTTCTTCAAATGATTCTTCTACTCAGTTTTCTCTTCAAGAATCTGACATGTCAGAAACATTAGAAAGTGAAGATGAAGAGGACGTATTAATTGCCAATAACATGAGTTATAGTGAATTAAAGGAAGGCGATTATATTCTTATCCAATTTAAGATGTGTGTTGTTCAAACATTAATTTCATCTGAAAATATTGTTATGGGTTGTAAATGCATTGATAACACTCACAAAGAATTTATAGCAGTTGAAACATCAGCAAAATAAATGTTTGTCAAGTGTTAAAAAAATTAGAGCAGCCTGAATTAGTGTTGAAGGGTGAAAGGGTTAGCTATAGGTTTAAGGAATCCATTGGTGTAACTTCTTAATTAATGAATAAATGAATTAATCCGAAATTGTTTATTTTATTAACCTCACTAAGTAGGATGTCAACTACCAGAGCAAATCATGTCAACTACTAGAACTAGCTAATCTGCACCTGTCAACCTTTGGAACAAATGCATGAAGTCAAAAACAATTACCAGAAAGAAAATTAAAATGAATGTTTACCTAGACCACACTTAAGGTGTTTTATCTGAAGTTTATAACAAAATATAGAGGCAAATTTATGAAATTAATTGTACATTTACCATTATATTTTTCTCAAGGTGTCGACTACTGGTATCTTTACAATCATCTTTTTAAAGTGAGTTTTAACCAGAAAGTAATCACTTAATAGGAGCAAGATAACAGCTTTTTTTTCTTATGGGATGAGAAAAAAGGATTATCTCTGTAAAGTTCATTTAATATTAAATTTTCATTTGCATTGCTAATAGCACTGATAAAAAAAAATGGAAGGTGTGGATATTTACAGCACCAAGCCAAAAGACAAGAAATTCACTGAATGTAGGTATAGTATATTACATAACAAGTGTGGAAACTAAACAAGTTGGAGAAATACATTTTCTAATGAGTTGTGTAGGTACACTATTTTTCCTACGACCACATAAAAATCCTTTAAAAAACGTCTTTTTCAAATAAGAAAGTCAATCAAACAATATCACATATGTAATAAAAAGTATATTAACACATATGTTGAAAAGTAAAAAAACCTCCAATATGTTTTATTTTGTAACAGTAGAGACAACAAGAACTAATAGAATGGGTTATAAATTATTTGTTTATTATTTTAAAAACCTTTTAAAAACTTTCTCTCATTTAATAAGTAAAAATTTGTTATATTGATAACTTTGATGTACATGTCATAAAATGTAAGAGGATATTTTTTTACTTTTCAATACACATGTGATATAAGCTCCTTTCTTAAGTATAAATAAGTGTGCAAACTATAATTGTCATATGTGGTCCTTAGTGTACCAGGCAGAAATAGCAGCAATAAATCATTGGAAAAAAAATAAGTATGAAGGTACAGGTACTAGATGATAAACAAATATAATAAAATGTGGAAAAATACACCAGGACAAACATGCCAGAGATTTAATAAAAGAACCATCCCAACACTCATGAGCATCTACTAAACCAGTATAGAAGCTTATTAGTAGATCTATTAAAATGACACTAGGCTTAATGGATGCAGAACATGAGCCTCACAGAAAAGTCTGTGACGATTCTACCAGGAAGAGGAGGAAACTGCAGTACCTCCATACAGAAACAATAAATAAACATGTTACTGGACGCTGGAAGGTCTATCAAGACAGTTTTCTAACATTTGGATAAAACTAAGGGCAAATAGGAGAGCTACTCCCTAGTCTATGAAAAGACCAAGCTAAACAAAATGCTCTAACAACTGATTAAAATATGTCTACAATGGATCTAAGAAGGTTTAGGTGTGGTGGAGGCTTCGACATACCAGTTCTAATAAAATCTAATCTAATAAAAAGCAGAACTTTAATCATTCACATACTAATCCTTTAATTCTCGATTTTGTTCAACACTCCACTTTGTAATTATTGCATTAGAAACATCTGGTTTAAAGTATATTCAAATAAAATGTTTGTAATTCATCAAACGGTAAATGCAAAAAAGAAAACGTTACAAAATTTAGTAAAAGTGTTTTTGCAAATTGTTTACCTGTAGATAAATGTTTAGAGGACAAGTTCAACTGACCAGTACTCCTAACTCTCTTTACTACATCTGGGGTAATATGCCGATCATTTTCATCTTTAGTTTGTAAATGAAACAATGGATTTACTATTTTTCTTCTTGATTTCACTTTAGATGAGTGCTTGTCCATTTTGTACCAATTATAGTTTACAATCAATCAACAATCAAGCAATCTGAAAATAATTATTACGTCTCAATCCAATAATTTTTAAATCGATTTACAAGGTTAGTTGCTTGACAACCAGTGACAAACAAAACACAACAACAACAACAAAACCACATGTGTTAACATAAGAAAAATAAAGTGCTAACTTTTGATTTTTTTTAGGTTCTTTCGTTTTCTATGCTTTCGTTCGCTGATGGTGCATCAGTGTAAATTACACCACCTTATTTACAAGTGCATACTCAATACGTAACGAATTGAATAGAGAGAGACATTACATACGAATCGCATTCTGTGGAACGAAGATAGAGGAGATGAAAGATGAGAATCCTAATGCTGGACAACTACATCTCGGATAAACAAACGCAGATGCAGAAGATGTGTCCGATGTGGACAAACAAACGCTCGAGATGTAAAAATGCATCGATTGTAGATATTCAAACGCAACATATGTGCGAGGTTCTGCACTGACGACATGACACATTCGGCAACAATGCACTATAAAACATAATTTAATAAACTGGCTATCCTAACATCCTTTATTAACCCTTGACCCACGTCACACATGTCTTCTACCAACTTCTACTGTCAGTCGTCACGCGTCAGTCTAAATGTCATTTTTGATAACCTAACTAAATTATATTAAGTTACAGAAAAATATTAATTTTCTAGTTTTAATAATGTTTTACTTTAGTATGTAAATATGTCAGAACTTGAATTGCAAGAGGAGGAAAGAGAGGCCTTGTTGTCTATTTATGATGGAGATGAATTATTTAAGCAAATTGATAATTGCTCATATCAGTATAAAGTAGGTGTACTGCATTTAAAGGTTTTTTGCTCTTCAATGTTATTTTTTAGTATGGAGAAAACGACTCAAATAAGTCCTTCGTACTAGAGATTAAATGGGTTGAGAAATATCCAAATGAAGTACCAGTCATGAATATGGATACTTTTTATAACAAACACATGTAGGTATTATTTTTATTTGTAATGGGAAAGGCAGTGTGTTCAACGTTTTACTTTTAGTGTAGCAAGTTTAAAGCAAAAAATAATCGATATACTAACAAGCGAGGCTGAACAATATTTAGGAATGTCCATGACTTACTCATTATTTGAGTTTTTAAAAGAGAAATTTGAAGATCTAATTGAAGAGCAACCAGATGAGCCTGAAAAATTGGAAGTAGAAAAGTTATGTATTACCGAAAATGATCAACAGGTAATTTTTTTTTAGCAAATAAAGTTATAGACCACAATACTTTAGTTTTATTTTTTCAGGAAAAACAGTTGAAAGAAAAAAAGGAACAGTTAACAAAATCTCAAAAAAGAAGGCAATGGAATAGGGTTGATGCCAAAGGGGAGAAACCAAGAGGCTGGAATTGGGTAGACATAGTTAAACATTTGTCACAAACTGGATCAAAGGAAGAACAACCAATTTCATAAACTGTTATAAATATCTTTTACATTTGTTATGTAAATAATATAAAATTTCCTTCTGTATTACTTTCCTATCATTTGTTTCAAATAGATTATGAACCCACTATTATTCCTAATAGTATTTTATTCTGTAAAGGTTCATATTAGAAATATTCATTTTCTAGCCATGACAACCCAGACAACACACCAAATCCCAAAGATATCCACAGAATATCTTTTGTGGATATCCAATATATCCACAGGATATCAGAAATATTCCGTAGATCTAATATGGATATCCAAATGTCCGTCTATATCCAGAATATAGAAGATATCCTATGGATATTAAGCAAAATATCTAATTAGTATCTTCCAGACAATACAAGAAATCCCAGAGATATCCACAGAATATATTTTGTGGATATCCAAATATGGATATCCAACCAAATGTCCGTCTATATCCCAGGATATAGAATTCAGATATTCAGCAAAATATTTTATAGGTATCTTTAGTACACATTCATAAGTACCCAAATGATTATTGAATAACGTCGAAAGAAAATAGAGATAAAAAATATTTCCAACAATCTGCCTTTGAGTTTGCCCACTAAGAAAAAAGTAATCCTTATTAGGACTCTTCAGCAATAAATGGAAATTCTCAACTCTAGTCTCTAATAGTCTTAATGCGAAATTTTTTTCGATCAACTCAATTATGGCGGGTTGAGCATGAGTAGATACGAAAGTGGTATCGCCATCTATACTTAGGAAGCAAAATCAAAAATTACATCTAGTAGATATCCACGATGGTTTGCGTCCGCGCTAGACTTTGATATATGTGGATGTCCATGGGATATTGAATACACCTTAAAAAAATTAATTTTAAATATCTGAACGGTACTATTAGCCACAATGGCGTAATTTTTTAATAATTTGCTATATAATTACTATTATTTATGGACATTTGCATGTCTATAAATTACATTTTATGGATATAAAATAGATATCCACCATAGACTGGACATTCAGTGGATATTGGGATGTTCAGTAGATATCCAAAGGATTTGGTGTGCTGTCTGGGAAGGCTATTAAAATCGAATAGTCCACTCAGAAGATCACAAACTATGCTGTATTACTGTTTAGTACTGCTCATGTATTTTAGCTGTATAAAGTTATGTTCTACACTTTGTACCATTGAGTAGAGATAATTTTTGTACCTTAGGAGAATATTTTTACATTTTCTGATCGAAAGTTGTATAATTCAGTAAAATATGTGCAACATAAAATTCAATTTGAAATATTTTTTTCATAGGCTCTTCTTCCTTGACATTTAAAAACACTGGAGTGTGTTGGTTTATTGTAATTTAGCTCCTATGTTCATATTATCAAACATTTGCATAATAGTCATTGTTTTCCCCCAAACCCAGTATTGCAAGATACTTCTAGTTTGCACCACCTAAATTAGTACCCTATTTTGTTCTGCCAATGTCTTCAGTTCTTCGATGCAGTCCCATCCAGTTTCGACGAGAGTTTCTGATTCAATATAGCCTTCAAGGCTGCCTGCCTGTCTGACTATATTATATATCAATAAAATGAACCAAAGTAGAAATTGATACTTTTGTTAGAATCTAATGACAAATCTTACATTTAAACAATCAGGACCACAGTAAAACACATAACAATGGCTTAAGTGCAATACGTCGTAACCCACAAAATTTCAAAAATAAAAAGTTGCTCTTTGAAATTACTTCTAAAGTCTATTTGGTTTTTTATTCCCCTGTAAAATTTACTTTTTGGGGTTACGACGTTTTGCACTTAAGCCATCGATAAGCACTAAATGGAAGATGCAAGAAAGTGCAAGCACAAAAAGCCCCCCTTGGTGGGGTCAGTCGCCTAAAAAAAAAAATCCCAGTGTGAAAGGGTTAAATAACGTAAATGACTCTTAAATAACGTAAATGACTCTTTAATAAATTTTCTGCATTAAAATCTATTTGGTAAATTAATAACAATTGGGATAATTATAAATATCCTTTATTAAATACATACCTAATATTTTTATAACAAAAAACTAAGCTATCATATCTTAATCTTCTGTATTCGAACTAGTTACTGGTGATAAATGAAAAGAAGTAGATGCTCTTTTAGATAACAAGAATGAAGATACATTTGAACTTTGAGTAGGTCTTGTCTTTTCGGTCTAAAAAAAGAAAATTGTATGATAAAAAATACGGATTTTTTTGTAGTTTAGTGTCCTACTAATGAGCATGTCTACTCCATCCAGCACTGATGTTTAGAATTTGAATTTTAAACCTGCTGCATTGCCATACGTCTATTCTAGCTTTGACATTTGTTTTTCATCTTTTTTATTTTATTTATTTAAGAACATTTAATTGATAGGTTGTTAAGTTTGAAACAGTTGATCTGTTCTGGGAAAAACCATGTTGTTCCTGACAGATTAAGCCTTTACATTGCCAAGTCAGTTGTTTGCTAACTACTAGGCAATCAAATAATTTTGATATAGCAGATTGTATACAGTTACTACGGTAATTCTCAATGTTCTTTTCCCCACTTTTGAAAATAGGAACAATATTGCTTACTTTCCAGATCTCAGGAAAAATAGAACATTCCAATGATTTGTTAAATAGCAAAAATAAGGGTAAAACAATTGTGCAAACACATTTCTTTAATAAAAAGTTAGGAACACCATCTGGACCTGATGTTAACTCATTTGGAATTTTAAAAATTAATAATAGCTTAAGGTACAGGGGTCTTAAATAAATAAATCTTGACATTAACCATAACAGAAAGTGAGTGTTTTGTGCATTATACTAACAAACATATCCTATGAATTCATTATTTTTATGAGAATAAAAGACTAAAACAGGGGGCAAGATCATAGTGTTGAATGTTACAGAAATTGTAAAATTTGAAAGAAATTCAAGTTATTTTTAAAACTTAGCTCAGATCAGAATGTAACTTTTAGTTAGTCAATTATACTAATTTTTATTAATTTCTAAAATATTTCCTTGCCCTCGTAAATATTTGACAGCATCTCCAAGGACTCAATTTGCTTTTTCCTAGATTTAATATCACTATGTAACCCAGGCAAATATGTTATTATTCCGATTGCCAGAATGAGTTGGAGCAGCAATGGTACGGACATACATGCATTAGTAGGATACTGATTGCAAGATTACCCAAAATACCATGACCAACAAAGTAGAAACTTACATTTTTCATCCTAAATAAGTGATCGAGTGCATGTGGTAATATAGGTCTTACAGAATTAATTTCCATCACAGTTAAGTTATCAACAGCGGCATAGAAATCGCTATTTTTAACTAATTTAGTAACAGAAGATCTTATTTTAGACATTCTAATATCCCAAATATCTTTAATAATAGTCCTAACTTCATCTGCTCTAGGAATGTCATCAGGAGCACATTCCAAAAGAAGTTTAGCTTCTACCATATAATGATCACTGGGCATTTTTGTAAAACCACTGAAACATTTTCTATTAAAAGATTTAAGGGCTTAAATTGGTAATTTACCTTGATTGTTTTTCTTGTTCTTTAATATATTCTAATTTTTGCATATCCATCCAATCCGGAGGCTGTATTTTACATTTTTTTTGCCGTTTTAATGACACTGCTACCCAAAGGGGTACATTTACAGGTAAACTTGCACGAAATGGACCTAAATCACCCGAAATTAAATGTATACCATCATTGTTAAATGTAGGGATTATTGAAACATAAACTTTTTCACCCAAAAACTCCAACTCGTCGGGATCCATTATTTTTACAAAAAAAAAAACTAACAAGAACAAGTACAAGGCAGAAGACCACCCTTTTTTATTTTCACTATATATTTTCCCGCCATTTGTTTTATCAAGGTCAAGAAATGGGACACGGGCAAGGATCGTACTATTAAACAGGTTAGCCTAATTTCTTAAATCTGTGAAGTGAAGTGCGCTATTGCCAAATGTCGATTTGCAACGTCACTGTAAAACTTCCCATACATTTGCTGCGTTTGAATATCCACATCCGATGCATTTTTTACATCTCGAGCGTTTTTTTATCCACATCGGACCCAAGGTTAGGTCTGTTCTGGTTTTGAGAAATAACGATCCACAACTGTCGGGCTCATGCGCAGTAGATAAAAAGTGTTCTGGTTTTTCTGGGACTACTTCGGATCTCTCAGTCCAGTGTTCTGGTTTCGTATCCGAAATAATCCGTGATTGTTGTAAACAGTCAAAAAGTGTTCATGCTTGGGAGTGTGGATCGACTCGGACTGTTTTGACCGCGCATGCGTTTTTGAAGTGTTATGAATATTGTATTGGCTTTTTAGACCATACGAAACGTATACAATCCCAAATTGTTTATTTATATGTGGACGAATGTCTCTTGTTCTTGTTTTATTTGTAAATTAAAGCAATTTTAGAATTATTAATTTTTTAATATTCTGTTTTTATTTATTCCATTGAAATGTGATGATAATGATAAACATATACATGCAAATGTTATTTGAAGCTGAGCTTTCAAAAGGAACTTCATTATTATAATAAACAATAAACAAAACACCTTTATGACGTGTTCTGGTTTTCCAAGAATTTCAAACAGTCGGGGATTTTTTGCCTTTACGCATACGGTCCGGCGCAGTTTCAAAACAGTTTTCATTTTGAGAACCAGAACGAACCTGATGATAAACTAAAGAGCTGGGCTGGAACTCTGTGTCATGTAGAATTCTACTTATCGCTTTCTACAATAGATTCTTTTGTGGCACTCTGTGTAACATAGCGGAAAACCAATGAGTATATACTTACTACAGGATAACTAGTTTCATAAGAAACCACATTGCGATATTTCCCGTGCGGTTGATAACGTATTTATCACAAAAGAAAGTAATCGATTCCATTGTAGAAAGCGATAAGTAGAATTCTACATGACACAGAGTTCCAGCCCTGGAGCGGGACAAAAGTGGAGTTTTTTTAGGGTGCTTTTAAATAACATTTAAGCGTGTTAAACTGTCACTAATCGGACTAAACCGAACGCTAAAAGGGTCGTTTGGAGTAAGAAGTGAAAAAGGAGGTAAAGGAACTTGGCAGACCGAACGCAATGTGTATATCAATGAACTCCAGTTCATTGGTGTATATCCATCAAAATTTATAAATATTCAAAAATAAATGGTACTTTAACAGGGCTGGTACCAGCCCTGGTACTTTAACTTTACGGTTGGCATCACTGATTTATTTTTTTTGTTTCCTGACATCTGATCTGGTTCTGTTTGACGTTGACTGTATCCTTCCTACGTGATGGTGTTCTGTACGTGACATGTTTAATTTTTTAAATGTCTATGTTTTGCTGCTTGCTTGTGGTGATGTCCGTTAAGAAATAAACTGAATTAACTAAGTAAAAACTGAACAAGAAGCGTTTAAATTGTATTTTATACTTAATTAACTATCAATTTTTATTTATAAATTGATCGAGAAGCTAATTTTAAGGTAAGAATTTGTAACGTATCTCATGTTTGAAATGTAACGATCTATTCTTTACTTGATTACTGTATTGTTTAGTATAGCAGTTTTACTTTATGCATTTTTTACTGATGTTTTTTGGATTTATTTGACGTTTTTAGTCACATCAAAAAAATATTTTTTTATGTACAGGGATAATTCTTTAACACCTTGTCCGATTTCTATGATGGAGTATCCTGTGTCCCTTCATATTCACACAATTTAACTCTCGTATTTTATGAGTAACATGATCATATTTGCGAATATTAAATATTAATCTTTTACAAGAATTTTGAATTTTCTGAATTCTATCTTGAATCTAAGCAGGGTCTGTCTTCTTTGACTTTAAACTAATACTGTTTCTGTGAACAAAAGAAACTTAATTATAAAATATTGCTCAAAAATATGTTATTTGTGGCTATTCAAATTATTTTTAACAAAACATATTTTCTTCAACCCTTCCCTCTAGTGTATGTTATTGAGGCCAATGTTGAAAACTACAAAAAACTTGAAGTGGGGCTTAGTAGGCTTTTTAATTTCGCTCCAATCACACTGTTTCAAAACGGCGAGGAATTATAGATTTTTCAAGGACAAATTTTGAATTGTATTTAAAAATATTTCCATTTGCATTTTTTAAACTATGAACTCATGTAGGTACAGTCGATAATATCCTATATAAGTAAAAAATAAGATAACAAACAAGTAGTAAGGAATTTTTCGTTTTAAGTTAATAATTATCTTCGAATTTAGCAGTGAGGGAATGATTTTCAGGGTACTTTCTTGGACATATATTTTTTGTTTATCATATAAGAAATAAATTTCTTTCATAAATTCGTACATCTAGTACAGTAGTTTTATTAAAAAAACTTTTCATAATTGATGATCCTGGGTTATAGAAATCATTAAGGACATCAATTTCGATTTTTTTTTAAGAATCAGCCATATATGCCATATTTTTAAACCATTGGCATAATTTTTAGGATATTTTCTTAAAAATAAAGATGAAAAAGAAAGTTTAGTAGATACAAATCATTTTTTTTTTAGATGCCTAGGACCAAGGTGACCAAAATAACAAAGAACAAACCTGATGAAGAAGGAATAGATAAAAAATTGTTATTTGCAGGGCTTTTAGAAGAAAGTAAGATTTATTTACTCATATATTTGGCAAACATTTAATTTTAAACTTACTGGTTACCAATGTTTCAACTAATTAAGGTAAACATACCAGTCTTCGACACAATAAATACAGTTTTCAGATAAGTGGAAAAAAATGGCTGTAAAATGACCAATGATTGACACCCAAAGTCCAATTATTGACACTTTACGAGATTGAAATTAACTAAATAAAAAATAACTGTAGATAATGACTGCTTTAAAATTATGTATTTATTAAATAGGTAGGTAGTTACTTAAGATACTAAAGTATTCAAAAACGTAAACATATATTATAATCAAAACTTATTAACTGAAATTCACATTAACAAATTCATTGTAATCAAGAGCATTCTAGAAAACAAAACTTAAAAATAAAAGAACCAAAGTATATATGGAATAATACAGACAAATATATTAACTAGATATTACATAGTTATGAAGCCTCATAAACATCAACAGGTTTTTCAAACTTATTTTTGATCCTGGCTTCAGAGGTAAGTATATCTGGAAAAGGTAGTTTTCCCAATAAAGCTCTTTTATTAACTGTACAAATGTCATTTTCATGGCTGTTACCAGGACTGTAAGATTTTTCTTTTCATCCCTGCCAACTAAGTATATATTTTTGTCACCTTTACATGCAAGGACCATTGAGGTTTAAATAAAATGCTCTTTCGTCAGCATTGAAAACTCTTTTGGGATCATTGGCCACTTCTAAAAGATCTTTGGCAAGTAGATACTTTTATTTTATGAAACCAATTTCTAATCTTTTGTTCTGTCACACATTTCCTTGCTGGAGTCAAATTTTGTGCTGTCTTTGGGGAAATATCTGGGTGTCCCAAGAAATGATTTAAACCATTTGTATCCAGGACGGATAAATGGAGTAGTTCTGCCTTCTAAGCAAAATTTTTTTCTCTACCCTATCCATTAACATTGTTTTAGTCATGGGAAAGTGTTGCTGCTGAAGTAAGAGAATCCATTGTTTCAAAATCGTTTCCTCTTGTGAAGTTAAAACAGTTGAAGCTCCCATAGAACATACTTCTGGTGATTTTCCCGTGGATTTATAGATTAAAGTCGTTCTTGGTATGACAGTCTGTTTTGCAAATACAGCTACTGGTACACCACTAGCTACAGATTGAAGCGCCTGAACCATTGCTTCTTCAGTATAATTTTTCTTTGGGGTCATTATCTGAAAAATAAAATAAAAATCTATAACTGGAACAGCCTGTATCCAGTGATTGATACTTTTTGTCAAACACTGGAATTAGTTATCACAGAACAAAATCAAGGTTTGGCAACAGTAACAGGTTATGTAGAATACTAAGCTTGAATTTAGAACTACAATATGTAGTAGACCTGTTATTGACACAAATGTCAATTACTGGAAAATGTTATTTAATTAGAACCAGTGATTGACAAATCAGCTAAAAGCCTTGAAATGATTCAAAGTTATGTTTTAAGAGATTTACACGATTCTCTAATATATACCTTAAAGAGTAGTGTAAAAATCATTATTATATATTAAAAACTAAGGGCACAATAAAAAAGAATTATACTACTTACATTTTGTGCTTCTAGTTATTACACAACACTACACAACGTTGTTGTCTCAAAATCCACCATGTTTATTTAAGGGGGAGAGCGCGGATTCGCGTGTTTAGGCAGCCTTGTCAAATGCATTTGGTAACATATTTACGCGATAATTTAAAAAAAAATGTAAGTTCCTTAAAAAATTAGACAATAAATAATGTTGTCGATTACTGGCAGAGTGTCGAAGACTGGTCAGTTTACCTTATTTATATTTTTACCAATAAATTTAATCTGATAATTTTACTGTGAATTAAATAAATGTTTGAATTATTCTAGGAAAAAATTTTGAATATGAACTGAAGCAGTTGCAAGCAAACTTGTCAATATATACTGATGAATTCTGGGCTGGTCTATTAGGAAAAACAAGGAGTACACTTTTAAATTTGAAATTATGTGATTTGGTATGTTTTAAAATATACTTAATATTACAGATATTAAAGGAAATATTTTTCTAGGGAAAAATAACTTCATTGTCACTGGATTCAACAGTTGCAATTGCAAGCAATAAATCCCTTTTAAATCCAATTAAAAGTTCTACAAAGAGCAAAAATACAATTTCTAGAAGTTCATCATTCGATGAAGGTAGGAGTAACTATAAACTTAAAAATGAATTAACCATGCTTTTTTATTTTCTACTAGATTGCTACTTTTATAACTGTCTTTCATATTATCTGGGTAATATTACATAGTAGGCATTTCACAGATTTAAATTTCATTTCTATTACTGATGCACATTATTTTTATTCATAAGTGTAAGTTTCTAGGTTTAACATTATTGAACAAAAATTGAAAGAGAATCATCTTAATTCATTTTTTTAAATACTCTCTAGTGTTTGATGTAGTCAGTCAGTTCTGCAAGCTCAAAAGGAATGAAAATTTAAAATCTTATATTAATTTCATAAACTAGGTTTTATATTCCTTTTACCAAATATTGTCAATTCCACTTTATTTGTATAATAGTGTTAATATTGATATGGAAACACCGAGGGGTAAATCGCTGGTGCACTATGGTGTACAAGCAATATATGTATTATGTGTTTACTTACTATTTGTGTACATCCTGTACTTACGTCTCTGAAATACCCCATAATCGAATTAAATTACGGGTTTTGAGCTTACATTAAATTGTAATTAGATGAAACAAAATGGATTCTATGTATTTTGAGGTGATCTTTTCGAAAAAAGGCAAAACAAAATGTAGCAGTTTTTCGAAAGTGCCGAAATTTTGGATTTTGTCAATTTTTCAATTTTGCGCAGGCGCATGTCGGAAATAAATCAATATTTTTAAAACGCAGTTTACGACATTTGAAAGCTTAGGAAAAATGCTAATTTTCATGTCTCTTGAGAAATTTTGATCCGATGCACCGTTCTCGCGGTATAGACAATTGAAATTTGGTCGAAAAATTGAATTTGTTAAATGTTCATAACATTGGTAAAAATTAAGATATTTGAAAAAACAAAAATGCGTTTTGAACTTAAGGGATGTGACTAGTAATACCCAGAAGGGGGCAAAAGAAATCCCAAAATTGGGCATATGGCGGAAGGGCAAAGTGTACCGCGGTCCTAATTTCATTGTTTGCCTATAACGGCCAAACTATTTGAATTTTTTTAATGCCACTTACAAAGCTTACTCCTAAATGTGAAATCTTATATGTGTGTTAATTTAACCTACATCGGACCATAATTGGCTAAGATATCAAACAATTAAATACATTTTTTTCCTTAAAAAAAAATATTTTTTTTTTTTTCTAAAGTTTGAAGTGGCACAAAAATGCCAAAAATGCACCCAATGGCTCAAAACTTTTTTTTTGAGTACTCTATTGTGTCTAGAATACGATTACATTACGAAAAATTCTGAAAAAGTATTTTATCTATTTTTTTTGACAACTGTTCATTGAGTGACGACCAAAAAACAAGGTTTTTGAGAAAAGTTGCCTAAAATTGACAATTTTTAGTTTTTTGGTCTGAAAATTAAGCAAACCCAAATTTCATGTCTTCTAAATGTGTATACAAAGTTTAAAGTGTGTATGTTGTAGAATTCTCCCGACATAAGTCCCATTACACGCGCTCCGCGGGATCCAAAACTCGTGTATACACTACATTACTGTAATTTGATTTTTTTGGGATTTCCAGTTTTAAATTTCTTACATATCTAAATTTATTAGGCTTAAAATTTATTAAATTGTATTTTACTGACTTGTTATAAGACGTTTCTTGAGTTTTGTTCAAAATATAGAATTACCGCCAAATTAGCCGCACGTCGCATCAAGGATAGTAATGGTCTCGGCGTTCGCTATCTGACAAGTTTAAACTTCAAACGGTCATATTTTTACAAATTGAATCGCTTGATAGTGTTCATCGGCATAGATTTTTAATAACCGTGTTCAGCAAGCTCTGTGTACACGTGGCTTTTCGAACTTCTTCAGCAATTTATTAAGTACGTTCCTAAATTAAGAAAATTCTATCACAGTGCTATAATTTTTTTGTTTCCAGATTGCAATGGCTGGCCTGTCTTTATTATGTCATCAGACACTTGCAGAGGGTGAACTATTGCAGATTTGCAATGCGACCTATGACATTCGAAATATAACCGAAAACTACGCATTTTTTGTGCTTAGAAAATTGCTCGTAAAACGAGTGTTTTTTTCTTAAATCCAACATTTTCCCTTTTTTTTAGAAAAAAAAACAAGCACACTGTCGATTTTTTCCGTAATTTGGGCACTTTACAGACTGAAAATATATTAGAATCAGTAAGTTTAATGAGAAACAAGCTTACTTTCTCTCCCAATTGCCAGAAAATTCGAGTAGCTTCAATTCTCGCGAGAATTACCGATCTTTGCACACGTGCGCTCAGAAAACAGTGGATGCTAGAAAAAATGTATATGCCACAGTTTTTCGTGTATTTCTTTTTCTCTATCATCTGATGGAAACAGTTTTCTATTCAGATAATTAGTTTTCGAGTTAATTAAGAAAAAAGTACGAGAAATTAAGAAAAAATTGTTTTGCAATTTTTTTCAAAAAGTTCGGAACGTAACTAGAAAATACGTATTTTTGTCATGCATGTTATCTTTTTGGGGTAAATTATTAAATAAATAAAGAATTCACTTTAAATAATGATTTTATTTTATATAAAATCTACATTAATCTCAAATCGATGCCTTAATAGAACTGAGCTGATTCTTATACAATGATAATATTAATGTGTTGGTCATTCTTGAAATGTGATACTCTGTTTATCAACAACGTACAAGACGGTTATCGTCTTATGAATACTGGAACAGTGGCGTTTCATTATCAAGGTAGCGGGACGCTAACACGGCCATACTGACGGTGGGACGTCCTCGTACCGTGATGAGAAACTGTTAACAGAAAAACAGTACAAATTAGAGAAAACAGTAAATTGCTGAACATATGAGTCCAGAATTCATAACTAAACTGGAGAACGGTCAGCCTATCATAGGTAGGGAACTGTAAAAGTATTAGAGTACTTGCCTATCCGTGGGTAGGGATCCAACTTGTCTAATCTACATAGTTTGAAGTTTATATCGTGCCTATCTACAAAATAGGGACCAAAAAAAATAATGTTTTTCGTGCCTATCTACAAAATAGGGACCAAAAAAAAATAATGTTTTTATTGTTGAGTCTGTGCCTATCTAGAAGATAGGGATCTAAGCATATCTTACTTCTTTATCCTAAATATCCTGCCTATTTAGGAAATAGGGACCAGAATATCAACTACTGTTCCTTAAAATAATTTTAGGGAACTAATAAAATACAACAGCTTCGCCTGTCAATATGACAAGGATCTAGAAACCTGTAACATATCAACCTATAGCCTGAACAATTTCAGGGAACGTGATACAAGAGATTAGTAATTATGTAATACCTTACTGAGGCCATGTGCGCAAATTTTCATGCGCAGCTACTGTGGTTTTTCTACTACCACCTACTCTTCGTAAAGCATATCGTTCATTCGGTAAACAGTGGGTTATAACAAACGGACCTTTAAATTTCGGTTTTAATTTACCACCACCAACAAGTTGTGTATCTTGAACCGCAACTTTATTTCCTACCGCGTACGGCACTGCCTCTATCCTTTTCTTGTTGAAATTTTCAGTAGCCTTCTGAGTTACCGCTTTCAATCGTTTGTTTACTGCTGCTATCGCACTACTCTGGTTTACAATTTCGGGTCTCAATGGAATGCCATCTAATAAATTATTGACAGCATTTAAACGTCGTGTTTCACCAAACATAAGTGCGTTCGGCGAAAATCCAGTTGTTTTGTTTACGGTTGCATTTAAATCATTTGCTATTGCAGGCAGCACCTGCGTCCATTTCTTATCATCTTTTGTATTTAACACAGCACGCAATGCATTAAAAAGAGTACGCATTACGCGTTCTACTTGTCCGTTTCCCCGGGGTACTCCTGTTGCTATCAGATGTAATTCAACATTATTGTCTTCCAAAAATTGTTTAAATTTACTAGCGTGGAATGCTGTACCACGATCAGCGATAATTCTCTTTGGTGTGCCGAGCTCAGCGAATATTGTAGTCAATGCTTTAATAGTACAGCAAGTCGTTTTCTGCCGTATTGGAGAAAAACACACGTACTTTGTGAAAGCATCGATAACTACTAGAATTTGTGTGCACCTGTTTGATTTTAGTAGTGGGCCGGCATGATCAATATGCCACGTGTGCATTTTCGTTGAAGGTTTATCTGTTTGTTGACATAAACCTTTCTTTTTACCACTGGCGGATTTTCCCAAAACACAGGAACGACAATTAGAAACATATTTGCGAACTGTTTTGCCGATTTTTGGCCATATCAAATCTTCACGCATTTTTGTAACCATTTTATCTGCACCTATGTGTGATGATTCGTCATGATATAAACGCAGGATATCTAGTCGCCCTGACACAGGAACGAAACAGCGATCTTTACCGTCACTAGGACTTCGATAATAAACGAGATTATTTTTTGAAGTGTATCCGGGCTCACTTATTGTATTGTTTAAGACACTTTGACAAAAAGTATCATCTGCCTGATATTCACGAATTGTTTTAGTGGGTAATTTATTATCTGTAGCCGTCACAGCAGTATGACTACGTGTTACTGCGATTCTATTTGCTGGTATGTTCCTACTGAGAAAGTCCGCATGTCCCATCCTTGTACCAGGTCGGTATTCTACATCAAAATTGAAATCTTGTAGTTTAATCCACCATCGCGCAACGCGTGGATGTAGTTCTTTTTTTAGAGCTGTCGCCCGCACCGAATTACAGTCTGTAAAAATAGTAAAATTGATTCCATACAAATAATTACGGAAATATTGCGTAGCCTCTACGATCGCAAGTGTCTCTAGGTCGTAAGAGTGATACCGAGACTCACACTCTGTAGTACGTCGACTAAAATACGCGACTGGGTGGGCAATACCGTCGTTTTTACCCTTTTGCATAAGGACTGCACCAAGCCCTACTGAACTCGCGTCCGTGTGCAACTCAGTTTTAAGCTCTGGGTTAAAAATTTGTAAAATTGGAAATTCGGTTAGTTTTTGAATTAACATTAAACGAATATTTTCGCATTC